TTTATTCAGAGCTTGGAATAAACTGCTCTTTTGAGCTGGTCTCAGACCAGTGCTCAGCTGGTATTTGATGTTTATTCCATTCACTGTCTGATGTCAGATCTCCTCAACTTCATGGTCACTAATCTACATCATGTACGGTGATGGATAAGGTTGTAAAAGCACTTCTGTGATTGGCCGGAACAAAACACAATAATTTTTCTGCATCTGCCCCCAGATGTGGTCCCTCTGGGAGGAGGACAGCATCTGGTCAGACTCTGCCCTGACAAGTATCGAGACATCATTTACCAAGATGCAGGAGGGGCTTTGCTCTGAGGAGCAGGCATCAGAAAACCTCACTATCTACAAGGTATTTTTATGAATGTGTTTTTTCTGAACATCTAATTTACCAACATGCAGCGGTCCAGAGGATAGAGCGCTGTTTGCAATGTTCCATCTGCTCATTTGGAGAATACCGGGGATGCAGGCCACGCCGGGCTTTGTACATTGCACTCAAAACCTAATTGGCTCAATTAAATAGAGCTGAAAAGGGTTTTTTCTGTAGGGGTACATGATGTTCCTCAGCTTTCACGAGGGCTATTAGTGGTGCAGAGACCTCTAAATAAACTTGCTTCGGTTTATTCTTGTTGTTCTGCTTTGGAACTTTTACTGTCATGTAATGGATGATGAAGGTGCTGCAGAAGATCCCACCAAGGCTGTGAGTGGGAGAAGAGGACGTGCAGCAGGATGGTTTCAGCAGACTAAACCTCTTCTCCTCGTTACTGAGGCCATCAGGTCACGACATCCCATGATACTCAAATATACTGAAATTTAAATCCAGTTCAAAACAAGTCACTTAATTAGCTGAGTCTGATGTAGTGAACTTGTTTTTCATTTAAAAAATGCAGTTTTCCTGGAAGTTCTTTTGCATCCATGTGTGGCACCAGTGGGTGGACGATTCCTTCCATTCAGCGGCCTCCAACTGCTGGCTTTATTTCCTTAGCTTGAGCTCAATGAGTCACAAAAAGGACAAAAAATACATTTTCTCTGCCGGTCTAATTTTAGAAACTAGAAACCGACAAACACTGGAACTGTTGTGTTGTGGAAGTGTGCGTCTGCCTGTTGGTTATTACACGCTTCAACAAGGAGCACCGTTGGTTTTAAAGGAGCCAGAAGAGAGGAGCTGCTGCTCGTTTTTTATTCCCAGATGTTCGTGCATGACTGGAACGTTTGTTTCAGGGTTGGTGATTGGGGGCAGCAGAGATGTCTGTCCCAGACAGCAGTTGGAGAACGTCCACTGATCACCTCGGAGATAATAACTTTATATTAACTGCTGGATCAAGTAAATTATCCTCAGGTGTTTCTAAAGAAACCGAATAACTTCTGCCACTGAGGATTTGAACAGTTTTCCCTGATAACTTATGTTCTGTAACATGAATGAAGTCCTGACACAGAACCCTGCAGAACCCCACAGAGAACGTGTGTTCCCTCGTGTTGATGATGCAGAGGAAACGTCTGTTGGTTATGTAACTGGATCCGTTTATGACACACTTTCTTTTTGAGCCATCCTTTGGGAAGTTGGTCCAAACTTCACCACAACACTATCCTGTGTTTGTGCTCAGAAACTTTACTATGTTTTAAAGTTCAAATTGTGGATATTTACAATAAATCGAGTGATTTATTTACAGCATTTCCACAGTAAATGTTGACATAGAAGCTAACTGGTGATACACAGACCATCTCAGTGTGACCCTTCACTTAAAGTGGTCAGTACGTGCTTTTCTATTCTTCCTATTTGCATCTAAATCATTCTTTGTTCTTCGTTCTGAACTCATCATTATTGCAGCTCTACGGGTTCCCCTTGTTCTGGGGAGCGAGTGAGTCGTTTAGCTGTGGTCTCTCTGTTGAGCCTTTATTTAAAAAGTGTCTCCAGGAAGTTGAAATTAGGAGCTCATGGCATAAACATAAGCTATTGCTATCAAACGATGACCATGAGCCCAAAAACCAATGTCTCAGACAATGTTTGCCGCTTTGCTGTGGTGTCCATCGCTTCCATGTTCAGAAGGAACTAGCCTCTCTGTAAGAGCGAGTCTCTCAGCAAGTCCTTCTCGATACTGGAGGAGGTTCATAAACACTCGTCCTTAAAGTGCTTTGCGCTAACAAAATGGTAAATGGTCTGTACTTGATATGGCGCCTTCTCGAGTCCTAGAACCCCCCAAAGTGCTTTACAACACAATCAGTCATTCACACATTCACACCCTGGTGGTGATGAGCTACATTGTAGTTACAGCTGCCCTGGGGCGCACTGACAGAGGCGAGTCTGTCTGCTGTACGCAGGCGCCACCGGTCCCTCCGACCACCACCAGCAGGCACAGTGGGTTAAGTGTCTTGCCCAAGGACACAATGGCAGTGACAGACTGAGCGGGGCTCGAACCTGCAACCTTCTCATTACGGGGGCGAGCACTTGCCTCACAGGAAGTACTTTCCTCACAGATGTGGGAACATTTCAGCCTGGCCAGCCAAGCCAATGCTTCCTGGGAATCAAAGAGCCTAGTAACGCAATAGCCCCACCCCCTTCTAACCGAGCCAATCAGCGCTGAGCAGCGTACGTCACACGCCACGATGCTCAGTTTCTCATAAACAACGAAGATGCATCCTCTGTTCGACGTGACTTGGACGTGTCTTTAAAAAGTTAAAAGCCTTTCTTCTGAAGAAGGATGTTTTACCGTCGTCAGACGCCATCTTTGACTACATCTAAAAAACTACAGTATTGCGCAATACAGCCGTCATTTCCACCTTTGTACTTTTAGCTGGCTGGTCCCGCCCCTCATGGTTCTCTCTGCCTGTCTGGCAGCCCAGGCATGGAGCATTATCTATCATGAAACCTTCACCAGGCACTTTGCACGGGTTCTGATGTGGGATGGTGTGAAGAGCTGTGTGGATCATCAAATCTGACAACCCAACACCAGAACTTCTCTACTTCAGCATCCTTGACCATGTTCAGCCAGAAGCAGCAGTTCCATTCAAAAAGTCTGTGGTGTCAATAGAGATTATGCCATGAAGTAGTGCCTTCTTTTTTTTTTCTGTGTGTGTGTGTGTGTGTGTGTGTGTGTGTGTGTGTGTGTGTGTGTGTGTGTGTGTGTGTGTGTGTGTGTGTGTGTGTATTTAGTGCATTAGTGTAAAATTGTGATTCTTTGACAGCAGGCATGTTGCAGACTGGAGGAAAGCGAGCCTCGCTTCAGTCAGATGCTGGAAAGTGGGCGGAGTCTTCACAGAGCAGGCTGTAGTGGAGTGGGCGTGTCCATCTTAAAGCTGGAGGCCCGCTGGAGGTCTTTACGTGAGAGGTTGGAGAGGGAAACCTCCAGTTCAGACAGAATAAAGAAGTTGTGGAGCAGGTGAGAGGAAGGTGATGTGTATACAACACAAAAATATTTATTACATAAAGTATTTTAGTTGTTTTCTTTGCTTTTGCTTTTTGGAGCTGACTTTAAACCCTGGAGTTCGGATAAAGACAAATAAAAAGAAAGGGTAAATGACTATTTAACTAATTCATAAAAAGTGTATCTTGTTTTTGACAGAATACAAATACCACACAATCTGTGCCCAAACTTCTAATATAATCTAAACGTGGGATTACAATGATGGTGTCCAGCATATATGTACTGTGATGTATTTATAGAGCATCATTGTGAAGCTCTGGAAAGAAAGATCTGGTGCTCATTTGTACCAATCCTGATGATGCTTCTGGTAAAAATAAGACATTTTGAGATGATTTGGGATCTGGACCTACGTTTGGTCTCTCGGCCCAAATAAAACGTAAATAAAAACATTTAGCTTACTCACCACTTTATGTTGGAATATACTCATAATGAAGTCCTTCATCTAGCTCTTGTGAATTAAACCTTTTACTGGAAGTTTCTGTCCAGGATTCTTCCTCGCCATCAAACGTTTTCAGAAACCTCTCATTACTTTGATTTGTAGTTCACCTGTGACCATTTCATTACATTTTTCTGGATCTCTGAGTGAACATCTTCACTTTTGTTTAAGGGGTTACGCATGGAGAGGCGGAGATAACAAATGAACAACAACCACCTTTCTGTCACTAACTGCCTCCACAGCAGCAGGCCAGGGCTCTCGGCTCCAGCCTACGACGACGGGCCGAGGCTAGCTCCTGCAGCTGGGAAAGCTCTCACCGAGAAATGAATGTTTAATTTTACTGTACAAAAGATATCTCATTGATTTACAGTTAAATGGTCCACAACCAATCACATTGCTGAAAACATTCTGATTGGATGCCTAATTGGGCCGCTTCAGCTAACTACTACAGAAAGCAGGCCACTTGTTAACCTCCTCAGACATTAGGACTTTTAAAACAATACAAATGAAAGTTTAAACACATAATTTAGCACATGCCCTGACTGCAGTAACTCCAGGTATTACCATTGACATATAAATATTGGACAATGGGTTTCCATAGGCTCCAATAACATGTTTTTGAAGATAAATGGGAGGTGGCCACCACCGCCATTTTGACAGTGTCACAGGTTCCATCAAGCCCAGACAATTCCACAAAAGGGAAGAGAGGAGGAGCTGAGGGTGGGGCTGTAAGGCTGGGATCAACTGACGACACCCGGTCGAACTAGCTACAAGCTAACCTGAAGCTAACCCAAAGCTAACACGGAGGTGGGAGCTAAGCTAACGGAGGTAGCAACCTAGCTACAACCGGAGTTAACTGTGCACAACACCAGAGCTTCTGAGTCAGAGATACGCCGGGCTGACCGTTGGGTAAAACCGGGTGGAACACAGAGGTCTCCCGAGAGCTCCACAAGCCGGCAGCCACACAGCAGACAGAAGCCGCGATCAGACAGAGATGGGCCGAGCTGCGGGGAGGGGAGAACCGGGTGGAAAACATCGGTCTCCAGAGAGCTCCACAATCCGATAGTCGGAACCCAGCTCCACCAACATGTTATATTTTAACCCATTTTCTAAAGTGCAGCATTATGTTAAATGCACTGGGTTTTACCCTATTACTTTTAAATTTCATGGTTAAACAGTACATGTTAACATCTAAGCTCAGCTCGGCAGTGACCTAAAATATATAAATATAATTTTACTTACCGAAAAAAATGAAGTGGAGACTCCTTGGACGCTCTATTAGTGCAATTAATGCCACAGCAAGTCATTTTGTCCAACAGTTGCACAAATAATATCCAAAAAGAACGCACAAACGCTACAACTAATGGTCTAAGTTGAGAGACTGAAAATGACCGAACAGTTTCCAGGCGAGACCGAGGCTCTACTGAGGCCTTTCCCCGGAGCTAGCTCTGTGGTCACGTGGGTCTGATGCTCATTAATTATACAGAATTTTTGGATTTTTATACACTTAAACAGAAGAGTGAGGAAAAAATTCACCCCCCTCAGAGTTGTCATGAGTGTAAACTAGATAATTTAAACAAAAAACATGTTTTGGTACCAGGCTGTAAACATGTTTATTTCTGCTGTGAAATTGGTATTTTTAACATGGGAGTCAATGAGGATTTGCTCGATTCTGACACCGGCCCCTAGTGGATGAGGGTGGAACTGCAATTTATTTCACTTCCACGTTGTGGGGGCTTGGGTATTACGCCTGACTTTGCTTAGGGTCAGGGACGCTACTCTGGTATCTGACACTAAACCACACTTTCTCATGAGATGGTCGACGTCTCACATTCCAAATTATTTATGTAAAATTGTGTCTTTAATTTTTCGTTCGTTCATAAAGTTTGCTGATACCTCATCTGTTAGGAATGGATGTCATTTTTAAATTCTCAACCTCCCACCAGGTTTTTGAGAGACTCCGCTGAGCTCTCAGGTTGGATCGCCACGGCAACACAATTAGTGAGCGGATGGAATCAGCTCGATGCATCAGCCGCAAAGCAGTTGGATGGTCAGCAAAGGCGCAACTTATTTTTCCAGTCTGTGGTGAGAAGACTTGAACAAAACACTGGGACTCCTGCTACTAAAGCTGTTATTGCAGAAAAGACAACTGCACGTCTTTATTTTCTGGATGGCACGTTGCTTCTCTTCAGAGGAAATTCAGCAGATCAGACGCAAGCTCAGATAGTTAGGGGTATTCTGGCTTACTCTACAGTAATGTTTTAACATGGAAGTGGGGCAGTTGTGATGTTCTTATCTGAAACCATTTAAGGAAACAAAGACGGTGTTGAATAGACCCAGAGTTCAGACTCACTGTAGCAGAAGCAAAAGGTCGGTCTAGCCATGGAAGCTCAGCAGGCCCGGACAGTCCTGTGCCCTGCCAATCAGAACACTCTATCAGTGTGATGGGCGGGATGATGCAACAGAGAAACTACAAAGATGGTGACAGCTTTGGACTATTTAGACTTGAGCTTTTCTTTGAGTCTAGAGCAGATAGATGTAGGCTACCAATGTTCTTCAGTGAGAAAGGGGGTGGTGGTGGTGGGGGGGGGGGGGGGGGGGGTTGCGTCTTTGACAGTGTCTGGCGGGCTGACTTGCTGACTGACATCCATAGCGGCGAGTACGTCTCGTTGTCCAGTTGCATGCGGAGACATTTAGACATTAGAAAGACAACAGTAGATTCCACCCCCCACGACAGATTTGTTTACGGGTTGTTGCCAGACTACAGGTTTCTTCCCACAGACCAGAACATGCTTGTTAGGGTGACAGGGTGAGCATCCTGTCACTGTGTCCCGATCGATCATGCGCCCTGGCTACTTGGCCATGGGGACTCACCTGAGAGTCCGGGGATTGAATCCCGCCACACATTGGTCAATTGAAGACTTTAAATCGTCCCTCGGTGTGAGTTAGACTGGTTGTTTGTCTCTGTGATGGACTTGTCCAGGGTGTCCCTGTCTCTCACCCAATGGGTGCTGGATATGGACATCTGCTCTCTGGTACACTGGTGAGAAATACGTGATTTGGAAAATAAGAGAGGGAGTTGCGAAAGCTTATTGGATGAGACAGAGGTCAAAGTGTCTTCCTGTGTCTTTCCAGATATTATAGCCGTGCTCTGATGGTTTTGTTTTTGTAGGCTAAGGCTTAAATAAACAAATACATTTCAGGCTTTGGACAAAGAGCTGAAGGCCAGATCTGAACTGAAGGTGATGGTGATCGGCGCTGCCACTCAGCTGGTCCAGCTTAGGGAAGCGGATCAAGACTCACACAGGAAAGTCACGGATGAAGAAACTTCCCCAACTCCACATCAAGACCTCGACTCCATCAGCCCTCGGGTGAGAGAGATAGAGTCCAACTGGTCCAGACTGGTTACTGAGGTGTCTCTTGTCCAAAAGTCTCTACACAAGGTAAGGGGACTCACAAATCCTTTTGTGAATTTTATAAAACAAATATTTTTTTTCTCTAAGTATGTTCTGATCACAAAAAGGAGAAACATCTGGCTCTGCATTAGCCAGCTAGCTAACAGCCACATGTAATGGCGTCAGAATTCCCCGGATGCCTTAAATTTAGTGACGTTACGGTGACGTTGTTGTTGTCCACGAAACTGTGAAAACTGACGTTGAGGGACTTGTTCAAATCAAAACTAAGCCATTAGTGTTCTGTTAGGACACTAGTCAGTGACTTGATGCAAGTTGCTGGGTTCCTTATATAGGAAACATTATTTCTGATTGGCTTAATGAACTGACCTGAATTGGAATGTTTCTTATGTGAAGTGCCTTGAGACGACTCTTGTCATGATTTGGTGCTATATAAATAAACCTGAATTGAAAACTTGAATAGGAAATCTATTGGAAAAGCTCACGCTGCTGTTTCACAAGGTTAAATCCCATCTTTTCCACCAAATTCTGGATTGTTTGGAAATCACGCGATCTGGCTCGATTTCTGATCACGTGATCGGATCAAAGCATCACCACGGTTTTCATCAAATATAGTCAGACACAAACATAAAATATTGCAATGATTTATTGGACGTGTAAGTCTGCCAGATGTCCTCCACCCTCAGGGTGCAGCACCAAAACCATCCTGAGGACTCGTATCGGCCTTATTGACGTGAAGCCCATTCATGCACCCACGTGTCTGTCTGGGATCTCGTTTTATTGCTTTTGTTTCTTTCTTTTCTGGGTCTTCTCTTCCTGCTCTGTTGCTCTCTGTTCTCTCGTTTGCCTTTCTCTTCGCTCGTCTCCCCATCTTTGGTGTCCTTCTTCTCTCTGCTTGCTCCAGTTTGTGTTTCTCATCCTCAGTAAATAGCGTTATTTTTTACGTTGTTTTTTATTTAAATAGCTCACTGTTTCTGTTTGACCAACTTTTCATCTGAAATTATTTTGTAAAGGTGACATAAATGCGTACAATAAATCAAAAATGTGGTTTGACACAATTTGCTGTCAAAACAAAAGAATGAAATTTCATTGTAAAAGTTTAAAATGCTTGTGCCACATGTTGCTCAGCTGTGGCTGGAGGAACTGACCCAGCAGGGGGCGCTGCTGGAGCTCCAGGAATGGGTGGGAGCAGCTGAATCTCAGCAGGAGGAGCGTCGGAGAGGGATCCAGCAGAACATCTGCACAAACGCATGTCTGATCAGGATCCTGAACCACTGCAGGGTAATGAAATATGATCTAATTAGGTATTTATTATGTAGATGAAAGGTTTTTGCAAAAGCACAGGTGACATAAAAACCTAATAATAAGTGATGGGATGAGCGTTCATCAGAGGATCACACCTTAAAGGTTTACAAACTCGTTTTGACCAGGTCATGCTGAACATGTAGTCCATCAGTTTCTAAAACAAAACCAGGTAAACTGAGAGGCTCACCGTGATGATCTACTCCAACTACCCATCAGATGTTTTTGTTCACGTGGCTTAATACTCCCTCTCTCCATGCTTTCGTTCTTTTTTAAACACAGAAACAGTTTTGTTTACCTGTTTGTAGCTACAGTTTCGCCGACGGCTGCCGGCTTCTTCAGGCTGACGCTGATGGTGGCGCGTCACTTCCTTCTCCGTTTATCTGCGGGCAGCAGAGGACGTTGTCGCCCTCTACTGCCCGCTCTCCCCTCTCCGATGATGCAGTCCCATGCGTGGTCCAGCGTGTAAACTCCGTCGTCCCTGTTCATGGTCCCACATCCACGTCTCCTTATCTCGATTGCTTCCTTGATCCATCTTTTGTATTTTTGTTGTTCAGTGGTTATGATCCGTGTGCTGTCCTAGTCCATTATATGGTTTTCTCTTATGCAATGATCTGTTACGGCTGACTTTTTTATTGTACTTTCTGCTTCTTCTTTTGCTGCTCTTGTGTGTTTACGATTTGCCTCTTTCTCGCACTCCTTTCTGTGTTCTATTGTCCATGTATTGAGTTGGCGTCCGGTTTCTCCTATGTATGTTTTATTGCATATTTTGCATGGGATTTCGTAAATGACTCCACATTTAAGTCCAGCTGATATTTTGTCTTTTGGGTGTACTAGTCTGTTTCTAACTGTTGTGTATGGCTTTGTTGGTGTGTTTATGTTGTGTTTTTTCATTGTTGCTCTTATTTTTTCCGTTATGCCTCTGATGTATGGTAAGGTTATCACTGGTTTTGGTTCTTGTCTTTCTGGGTTTCTGGTTCTTTTTTTGGGTTGTTCTTTGCTTTCTGTTTTTGTTTGTTGTTTTCCTTTGTTTATTGCCCATGTCGGGTATCTGCAGGTCTTTAAAGCGTGTTGTATGTGTTTGTCCTCTTGTTTACGGTCTCTCTCTTCTGTTATTATGTTTGCTCGGTGATATAATGTTCTGATTACTGACATTTTGTGTATGGTGGGGTGTTCTGATGTCCATAATAGATATTGGTCTGTGTGTGTTGGTTTCCTGTATGTGTTTATGTTTAGGGTCCCGTCGGTCTGCCTGGTGATTTTCATGTCCATAAATGCTATGCTGCCTTCTGTTTCTAACTCATAAGTGAACTTTATGTTGCCCGTGTCGTCAATATTGTTTAAGTGTTGTGTTAGTGTTTCTGTTTGTTCTTTTGGTATGATTTCCAGTTTGTCGTCTACGTAGCGTTTCCATAGTTTTATTTTGCAGTTTGGGGGGGCGGTGGCTATGGCTTTTTGTTCCAGGTCTTCCATGAAAAACTCACACAGGGTGGCTGATAACAGGTTACCCATGGCGAAGCCTTCCAGTTGTTTGTATATTGTATTGTCGTATGTGAAGTAAGTGGAGTTAGCTACCAGTCCTATCAGTTGTGCTATGTCATCTGCTGTGAGGTTTGTCCTTTTGTGTAAAGTTTTGTCTTGTCTGATTCTGTTAACTACTATGTCTATGGTTTTTTGGGTTGGTGTTTTTGTGAACAGGGATGTGACGTCATGTGAGATGAGTATGTTGTTGTCTTCTATTGTAATTTCCTTTAGTTCTTTTGCCAATTCTATGCTATTTTTGCAGTGTTGGTCTGTATTTCCTAATAACGGGCTGATGATTCTGCTGATATCTTTTGCCTCCCTCTCTCTCTTCACTGCACTCTGAAGGAATGTCAGACTGAAATGTCGGCCCATCGGGCCACGCTGGATCACGTGACCCAGCCTTTACAGATGTTCACAGACCTTTACGAGTTGAATCAGGTTGCAGAGGAGGAGGGTCGTGTCGTCCAGCGGTGGATCCGACTGGAGAACGACCTTCGTGCTCAGGTGAAATCGCTCACTCCGATGTGTGTTTGGTTACAACATTCAGACTTAACTGGGAAGAGACAACTGTTTTATTTAAATAAATGTCATTTAGTGGATGAATCCAAACCAATTCAGCTGACGTTTCCATGATTTTTCATTGAATGGAACGAAGTAGAGGCACAGCGTCATCATACAACTCAATGTAGGTTTTGTTTGGTGTGTTTGTGCAACAGTGCAACTAAATAAGTGTAAAAATTAAACAAAGTTGTGGTGGTGGTGGGGGGGGGGGGGGGGGGGGGGGGTCATGTAATAACGTGTCTAGAGCAGTGCCAAAACACTAGATCTAGATGACCTGACCCGACTCGTCCGGTAGAAGGCAATCGAGGACAGAAGGGGTCTGTTGATGAGTCCTGGAATAGAGGAAGAAGACCTGTCTCTTAGTTTGGAGGTTCTGGTCCAGATGGACCTCAGCCTACTGCCAGAAGCCAGCACCTTGAACAAATCATGTCTGGGATGAGAATATTGGCCATAATCTTAGGTGTCTGTTTCCTGGTCTTGTAGATCATTGGTCCTCAAATGAGGGCAGGTTACAGCTCACCACCTTCTCAGCTAAGCAGACGACACATTGCGCTCCATTCCTGTCCTCAGCAGAGGAGGCTGTGCACCACGTGGTGATGGAGTTGGTGAGGATGCACTCAGTAATAGCTGAGTAGAAGCTGACCATGATCAGTGGCTGCATGCTGAACTTCCTCAGCTGCTGCAGGAAGTCCGCCCTCTGCTGGGCGTTGAACATCAGAGAGGTGATGTTCTTGTGGTGCACTTTAGTGCTGGGTGGACCCCAGACAGCCACAAGACAACACTTCCCAAGGTGGTGTTAGTGAGTGTGATGGGTGCAGATAAGGCTGAGTTCCTCACACCAAGCCCTTCGTCAGGAATCTTGGCGTGACCTTTGACCCAGCTCTCACCCTGGATTCTCATGTCAGTTCTCTTGTTCACTCTTCCTTCTTTCATCTCAGGAACGTTGCTAAGCTGAGTCCCATTCTGTCCCGCTCTGAACTTGAGACAGTTCTCCACACCTTCATCTCCTCACGCTTAGACTACTGTAACTCTCTTTTCACGTGTCTGAGCAGAACCTCCCTGAACCGTCTACAGGTGGTTCAGAACGCCTGTGCTCGGCTTCTGACCAAGTCCTCCAAACACACCCACATCACCCCGCTTCTCCTCCAGCTTCACTGGCTGCCAGTCAACTTCAGGGTTCATTTCAAGATCCTGGTTCTGGTCTATAGGGCCTTACATGGACAAGCACCATCTTACATTGGTGATCTTCTTAGTCCCTACACCCCCAGCAGGTCCCTGAGGTCCAGTGATCAAAGCCTACTGGTTGTGCAGCACCAGGCTAAAGGTCAAAGGTGACAGATCATTTGCTGCTGTGGCCCCCAGACTCTGGAACTCTCTCCCCCTGAGCCTGAGATCAGTGGACTCAGTGGTCTCCTTTAAACTCACCTGTTCAGGCTTTGGTGCGACCCAGAGGATGTGCTCCGGGCCATTGTTCACCAGGTGGTCAATCTCCCACCTGTACTTGGATTTGTTACCTCCAGAGATGAGGTGGACAAAAGTAGTGTCATCTGCCTGCTTCAGGACTTTAACAGATTTATGGAGGTTCCTGTCTGCTCTTGAAGTGGCGTGGGAGGGACCTGTGGAGAGGGAGGGCTGGGCTTCCCATCTGGACCCAACAGCTCTGCAACTTTGGCTCAACAAAAAATTAATAAATAATAATAAATACATGAAATAACTAAAAGTAAGTGAATAAACCAGATTTTCCTGGGAGTTCCTGCACAACCAGCAATCCAGATGTTTTACTGAAGGAAAGAAGGAAGGAGTGAGTGGACCAAGCGCTATTCTGTCTTCCTGATTCATTTAAATGTTTTTAACATCATAAAAGATTCAGGAAGTTGAGAAGGAGCTCAGGGACAGAGCTCAGCAGGGTGGCCGACTCCAACTGATCATCACCTGGATGTCAGACCAGAGCCTCTGGATCCAGTCGGCTCAGAGGCCCAGCAGCCGACCGGAGCTACTGAGGAGCATCAGCGCCTGTGAGGTCAGAGTTTACATCCGTGCTAAACCAGCTGATAAAACCTCACGATCACAGAAGCTGCTGTCTGGGGTTAGGGTTAGATGTGAAGAGCAGACGCTGTGATTTCCGGCAGAAGTAACTCATTTAAATGTCGGCCAGGATCTGGAGGAACACATCCGGCAGAAGTCTGCAGATCTTCAGGAGCTGAGGAACAGATGCTGTGGCCCAAAGGAAAACAGTCAGAACCATTTTGTCAGACAGACAGAAAAATGCATCCAGGCCTGCGCAGCTCTCACGCAGCAGGTAGGCGACTCTAGCTGACCAGGAAACCTCCAAAAAACCAAAACCAGATCTTTTAAAGTCTGTTGTTTCAGTTTCGTACAAGAGGGAAGCAGCTGTTTCTTACGTTGTTTGACAGAATGAATTAGCGAAACAAAAGCTGCTAAAGACTCAGCAGCTGTGGAGCAGCATGGAGACAAAACGGACCCAAGTGATGCTGAACAGAATCAGAACCTCTCAGATGCTTGGTTATCACAGCCACCCGCCGCTCTCCCTGCAGGCCCACCGGCGTCTCCACGACAAGCTTCAGGTACAGAAGGAGGGACAACCGTAGTAAAGTATTCAGACGCCGGTCAATGTTTTACTCTGTTACATTTCAGCTGTTTGCTAAAACCAATTAAAGTCATTTTTCGTGATAAATGTACACGCAGCTTTCCATACTTACAGAAATACACAGCATTTTAGAAATTTGTACAAAGTTATTAAAAAAGAACAACTTCATTGTCACATGGTCTAAGTATTCAGACCCTTTGCTCAGTGTTTAGCAGAAGCACCTTCTGAGCTACTACAGCCACGAGTCTTCTTGGTGAAGATGCAACAAGATTCTTACAGCTGGATCTGGGATCCTCCGTCAGTCCTCCTTGCAGATCCTCTCCAGGTCTATCGGGTTGGGTGGAGCCATCTTTAGGTCTCTCCAGAGATGCTCAACAGGACTCTGGCGGGGCCATTCAAGAACAGTCAGAGTTGCCGTGAAGCTACTCCTTCGTTATTTCAGCTGTGTGCTTAGGGTCGTCGTCATGTTGGAAGGTAGACCTTCAGCCCAGTCTGAGGTCCTGAGCACTCAGGAGAAGGTTCTTGTCCAGGATATCCCTGTACTTGGCTGCATTCATCATTCCCTCAATTGCGTGTTCCTGTCCCTGCAGCTGAAAAACATCCCCACAGCATGATGCTGCCACCGTCATGCTTCACTGTGGGGACTTTATTGGACAAGTGATGAGCTGGTTTTCCCCACACATACCGCTTAGAATTAAGGCTCAGAAGCTCTATCTAGGTCTCATCAGACCAGAGAATCTCATTTCTCACCATCTGGAGGTCCTTCAGGTGTCTTTTAGAAAACTCCATGTGGGCTTTCGTGTGTCTTGCACTGAGGAGAGGCTTCTGATGGGCTACTCTGCCATAAAGCCCTGACTGGTGGAGGGCTGCAGTGATGATTGACTTTATGTAACTTTCTCCCATCTCCTGACTCTCCTCTGGAGCTCAGCCCCAGTGATCGTTGGGTTCTTCTTTACCTCTCTCTCCAAGGCTCTTATCCCCAGTAGCTCAGTTTGGCCGGACAGCCTGCTCCAGGACGGGTTCTGATTGTCCCAAACATCTTCCATCTAAGGATTATGGAGGCCACTGTACTCTTAGGAACCGTAGATGCAGCAGAGATGTTTTTGTAACCTTGGCCAGATCCGTGCCTTGCCACCATTCTGTCTCTGAGCTCTTCAGATAGTTCCTTTGACCTCATGATTCTCATCTGTATGGTGAGCTGTATGGTCTTATATAGACAGGTGCGTGACTTTCCTAATCAAGTCCAATCAGTAGAATCAAACCCAGGTGGACTCCAGTGAAGGTGTAGGACCATCTCAAGGATGATCAGAAGAAATGGAAAGCACCCGAGTTACATACCGTAAATCCTCTAATACAGGCCCGGGCCTGTATTTGACTCAAGCTCATCAAGCTCCAGGCCTTTATTGGAAGGAGGGCCAGTATTAGAGGCAGGCCTCAATTTCTATTAGAGCAAAATGAACTAATGGTTCGCTGGAGTTTTTGACAATTAAAATTGCGCCCACATTTTCAGAGTTAAACACATTTCTTTTAACAACGGTAGTTTCTGCTTCAGCCCTCTCCCCCCTCCCCCTGCTTCAGCCCTCTCCCCCCTCCCCCTGCAACTCACTGATGCGCCTGCAGCCTCTCAGAGTTCCTGCTGCTCTAAACATTAAAATAATTATTTCATTTTCTGTTCCTCACTTCTGATTACCTTCAATGGTGTCTGTTTGTTGCAACCACCAGGTACAAAAACTAACTTGTTTTTATTTGACTATTTTTCTGTCCTGTTTCTGTTTATTATCTTCCTGCATCTCCTCTCAATCCTAAAGAAAAACTGCTACCTGGGTTCATATGTATTCACCTTATGAGTTACCTTTGAACTGCAGTTCTAAAAGATCTACCGACCGCAAAAACAGCGGAGTGCCGCTGCTTGCCGGCTGCATCAGTGGTCGGTGCGTCACCGGAGGACAAGGTGATGCGCCCCGCTCCACAGCAGCGAAACACATCAGGCGCAAATAAAAGACAGAAAACATTAGAGGAAATGAACTGACATGAACGATCGCGTGTCAGTACCGACGCTCTGGCAGAGCGCATTCCCTCCCCCCCCCCCCCCCCCCCCAGCGCAGGAGCTTGTCACCTGCTGACAGCAGGCTGCTGTCTTTTCCGAGGACTGCATCTTGCCGGTCATTATCACGTGACAGCGACTAGTCGACGACAGGCATAAAAAGTCACTATAGTGAAGTCGACTAGTTCATACAACCCCTATTGCTCCCCAGTGTTCTGCAGCATAATCAGCACGTTTTCTTTGAACTTGATATCAAATTTTCGCCTCCTCTTCGTCTCCGCACGGTTAAAGTTACCCTCGCGGTCTATCACTGGCAAATCAAAAGTGAGACGATGACACAACATACCCCCCCCCCCCCCCCCCCCGTACTTGCTTGTTACCACATTCCACCCGGCCACAATAAGAGACCTGCCATTATTCACCTCCGCCGACTCCGGCACCGGCCAAAATTGGAGACCCGGCCTTTAATTGAATACCGGCCTGTATTAGAGGATTTACGGTGTGTGTCACAGCAATGGGTCTAAATACTAAATCTGCAGAAATTTCTAAAATTCTGCATTTTTCTGTTTATATGGGGCGCTATGTGTACATCAATGAGGAAAAAAATGAATTTCGCTGATGGCTGCAATTTACCAAAGAGGGAAAATTTGACGAGGGTCTGAATACTTACCCAAGTACCCAACATAATTAAAACCACTCAACATGGTCATGAAATCTTGTTTGTTTTCATAAATATTTGTTTTGAGCTCAGGTTTTACTTGAGGAGACGGAAGCTTCTGGGTCAGACTGGGATGAACTGAGTCAAACCATGTTTCATCTGGGAGGAAACATCAGTCCTGCTGCCGCTGGCGTCCTCTCAGAGCAGCTGGAGAGAGAGAGAGACGGGTGAGCGAGACATCTGCACGGGACCGAGATCCCTGACGCATCAGATCTAATCACCACTGCAGCAGAGTTTTAAAGTTCCTTTACTCTGGAGAAAATCCACACTGCAACTGCAACTGATTTCTGAAAAAGATTAAAAAGAACAAAATTGAATTTTTTACTATTTTATCTTATTTTGAGTCGAAAAAGAAGTTCTTCTAGCATTAGTTAAAATAAGTTAAATAATCCTAAATATTATCCAAAATTTCTTGTTTGGAGTAAAAAAAAACGCCAATGAGGCAAAAGCAAAGGTTGCTTGGCTACAGTTCCTAAAATTAGCTAATAAACCTAAATTTGGATGAATTCACCTGGCATTCGTTCATACTGGAGACCACGGCAAATGTGTTAAAAACTGGAGTTTCATAGCCTTTTAATAGGTCACAGCTGCAAATAAAAACATGTTCCTATTCTGTCTTGCCTGGTTGAATAAAGGTGTAATAATGAGGAAAATGGATAAGAAACCAACAAAAATGATTAAGGAAACCAACCGGATAAAACAGGAGTTGAGTTCTGGGAGCGAACAGTGGCGGAATGGTAAAGAAATGGGAATTCCCACTGGGAAGGACACACTCGAGCCATCATTTGGGCTGAAGGGCTTTTAATGATTGGATGGAAGTCAGCCTGATTGATGAGGAGAGTAGTGATTGCCTTATTTTTGCACCTTACTCTGATTCTCCACCCCCAAGGTGGGATCAGGTTCTGGCCGCTCTGATCCAGCAGCTCCAGAGGAGTCGGGAAGTCCTGCAGGTCTGGGAGGATTTCACCCAGCTGGTTGCGTCTCTGTCTGGACATCTGCAGACACTTCAGAGGGACGCGACCTCAGAGCTGAGTATCCTGCCCAGACAGGGTGACCCCGTGGATGAGGTCAACATCAGGATTACCACAGCTGAGGTAATAAACACAAAAAGGCTCCAGCTCAGGAACCTCATGTCCACATGTTAGAAGGTGAAGTGATCATTAAATCCTTTGAGGAATAGAAGAGTTTGTCATCTTAGATCTGTTTTAGTGCGATGTCATTAGTTCATACAAATGTAACTAACACAGGTTTGCATCAGTCTTCTGTCCCTGTGTGTTCCAGAGCCTCTTAAACACAACAAACACTCTACAGTCAGACCTGGATGTGGTGCTGCAGGCCTCCAGGAGCTTAGCAAATCACCTGGAGCCTTCAGCTGCCATCTTGGTCCAATCGGAGAGCCGCCTGTTGTCAGGCGGTGTCCTGCAGCTCAGGCAGCAGCTGCGTTGGAGGCTGGGCCAGCTGCAGGTACGGTTTCATGACCGGATCGCCTGTTTGTGGGACTGATTTAAGGTCAGGGTGGCTTTTTATACAATTACTGCACAACAAATATTTAAACATCCTGGCTCAGCAGCAGCAGCAGCAGCAGCGTCTTAATGACATCACGCAGGTGAGTAAACACTCTGAAAGCTCCTCACCTGCTTTTGGAATGCTTTTGCGTTTCCAGGTTTCTGACCTGCCTCCAGCATGCACTAGATGTCAGCGTGACCTAGAAATGACGACGTGCTTGGCCTGGTGCCATGCGTCTGATCTGTGTGCAGGAGGAGCTTAAGCTGCTGCAGGAGACTGAGCGTGACCTGGAGTCACTGGAGAGGAGCCTGGAGGTCTGGCAGCAGCGCCTGCAGAATGCAGCCCTGACGCCGCAGGTGAGACGCGAGCAGCTCCTCGATCTGTTTGGTTTAGACCTTCAAATGTGTTTACGCTGAATTCAGCCTTTTGTCGCTCCTTAGTAATAATTCATGATGTTTACACATAATAATAGAAATGAAGAAGAGAAGGTAAGCGTGGATAATGTTAACACAGACTTCCTTGGTATGATCCTGGAGCAGAGAAACGTAACGTTTAGGTTGAGCTGTGCGTTGATTTGACCTCACTGGTGTTTCTGTGTGAGGCAGCAAATGATGGATATAATGCAGAAAAGGGTCAAATGTGTGTGAGAAAAGTAAAGATCTGTGGTTCTGGGGTCGCGTTTGTTTTTAAACAGCAACGATAATATGAAAGTAAGAAATTATTTACCTCTAAATGCAATAAAGACCATGTTGAGAGAGCTGGGGACATCATTTAGGAGCAGAACTAAATGTACTAATTATGTTTATTATAAACAACTACAGCAAACAGAAAGAAAATCTCTTTAAAATGTTTATTTTAAATAAAACTCCAGATGAAGAGCTGCAGCTTAAATCTGGCCAGCAACGGTTCTTTAACGAGAGAAAAATTAATATTCATTTTTAAACATTTTAAATTGTTTCTTTGGTAAAAATCTCAGGTTAGCCGTGAACGTTGACGTGCTTAATGCATTTATGCGTCTGCCCACTTCTTTTTGAGCAGGTAAGAAGGAAAACGTGAGAAATGTCTGAAAATGTTGTGGAAATGAAATCCTTCTGTGTTTATATTCGACAGTTAAAAAATAAAAGCTCTAATAAACGTGTAATGAGCGACGTCGCTGGAGCCCTGGCACCATGGAGTCGGAGTCAATAGCTGATCAGTGTTCAGGGAGAATGTGATTCTGACTTGTGAACGCTGGCATGAAGCTTTATTAGCTCTGTTTTGGTAACCTTTGCTTTGTGGCTCCACATGAAGTCCTAAATGATTCAAGCAGCTGAAATAATGATGATTAAACATAATAAAAGGTGGAAATCACAGGGAGCAGCAGAAGATGGGGTGCTAATTACATCCACATAGCTCATTGTTTGGCTTTAGTCTTGAATAAAAGGCATGCAGGTAATCGTAAGAAAGGAAACCTCAAACAGGACTAGATGGAGGTCAAAGGTCACGTAGGTCCGAGCTCAGGTCATGTGTGTGCGCAGTCGTCCAGACTGTTCTTATCTCTCCCGTGATGCCATATGTTTCCAGTCTGGCGTCCTGGAGCTCAGCGGTCTGTCTGCTGACCTGGACTTGCTGAACGAGTCGAGCAGCAACCTGACACCGGGTGGCGCTGCAGCACTCCGCCTGCAACGCCTCAACCGTGACTGGGCCAGCACCTCCGCCAGGGCGGAGCAGGCCTGCAGGTCACTTTATCTCTTTATCTTTTGACCCTCTCTCAGATGATTTCAGCAGAGGCAAATAAAGGTCTCCTTACTGAAACGGGATTGTGTGTGATAACAGAAAAGATGAAACCGCTGAATTAAAATGAAAAGGTTTGTTTTCAACAGTGAGCTGCAGACAGAGGCACTGAGGCGGCAAACGTTTGAGCAGAAGTGTGAGAGCTGGATGGCATTCCTGCAGAGGATGGAGGACAATCTGCCCGCGGACATCGCCGGCTCTTACGTCAGCCTCAGGAAGCAGCTTTGCACACATAAGGTACCCGTCCCCAGCAACACGTCGGTAACAACGCTGTTAGAAACGGCTGATATTCCTGATCTGTTTTTGTGTTTTAGAGGTTTCAGGTGGAGCTCGCCATCGGTCATCAGATTCTACGTGCAGTCATTACTGAAGCGCTTCAGCTGCTGCAGGAAGGAGAGGTGGAGGACAGGTACGGCGATCACATCCATGTCCTCATAAGGCTAGTAACAAAATCATGGTGATGCTTTAACCCTCCCACTGTCCCAATGTGACCCCGCGAGGAAAGGTGACCATTGAGCAGGGTTGATGGTTTATCAACCCTGCCACGAGGACCCAAGGGATAAACCATCAACCCTGCTCAATGGTCACCTTTCCTCACGGGGTCACGCCCATAAAGACAGTGGGAGGGTTAAGAGCAAACTATGGAAAAGAAGAAAAATCTGATCTAGAAGTTTAAAAAATAATAGTTTTCTGTAACCGAGCAGCTCGCATGGACGGGTCTTAGATTTACGGTCACAAGCCAAACACAAAGTCCAAATCAAACTGAGCTTTGGGGGCTTCTAAGGTATAACAGCTCTGGGAAACGGATGTGAATAAAAATAACAGAACTAACAAAGATACAACTCTGTGGTTGATCGTTATTATAATGATTTCATTGTTATTTTAATGTGGTTTAACTGTAGCTGAAGAACTGCCGCATGGACAATGAGACACATGTTTACCTGCAAATGTAAGGTGTGATTCACCTTTGTGTTAAATAAATAAATAATTAAATAAATAAATAAATAACACTCTTTCATCAGCAACTACAGAATAATAATTAGCAACTTGATACAGTGCCCAAACACCCCTGCTGCTTCAGTCACACGTCTTTCTAGAAGGGTAGCACCGGTGTTATCGGAGGATCTGCTGTTTCGCTCCCGTACACACGAGAAAGACTTCAAATAAACACATTTACACACATTTGAGTGTAATTCCTCTTTCAAAGGGTTTAAGAAAAGGTTCTTTTTTAGAAGTAAGGCTGGAGAAATGAATGAAAACAGATGAATTCCAGTTTATTGAAAAGCTTGTTCTTCTGAAGTAAAACCTCTGTCATCATTACACACATCTGTTTTTACATGAATATGTCTGTGTGTGTGTGTGTGTGTGTGGGGGGGGGGGTGCAGGGACAAAAGTGTTTATTTATTTAGGACACACTTTTGTCAGACTGTGTATTATAATAAATATATCATTTAGTGCATTTGAATTGGGTTTTCAGCTGCCGAGCTTATTGGAGTCCCACAAGGATCCGTTCTGGAACATTCATAAACGTTAAAGTTAAAGTCCCATTAGTTGTCACACACACACTGATGTGTGTGCGAAATTTGTTCTCCGCATTTGACCCATCCCCTGGGGGAGCGGTGAGCTGCAGACACAGCCGCGCTCGGGAACCTCTGATGATCTGCCGGTGTGTGACGATGCAGAGATGTTGATGCATGCTGATGACACTTCAATTTTTCAATTCAATTCAAGTTTATTTATAAAGCGCCAAATCACGACAAGAGTCGTCTCAAGGCACTTCACATAATAAACATTCCAATTCAGGTCAGTTCATTAAGCCAATCAGAAATAATGTTTCCTATATAAGGAACCCAGCAAATTGCATCAAGTCACTGACTAGTGTCAGTGACTATACAGCAATCCTCATACTAAGCAAGCATGCAGCGACAGTGGAGAGGAAAACTCCCACTGTCATGTTTACAAACAGGACAGAGGTTAACCAGGCTGTAGTAGACCACGAGTTCTGGGAAGGCTAACATCTCAGTGTTTGGCTTCTTCAGGAGAGACTTCATCCTAAAGCTGGCCCAGCTCAAAGCGCATTGGCAGGGAGTGGTTCAGCGGGTTGACCAGAGAAGCTCCTCGGTGGCGGGACTGGTGAGGCAGTGGCATCTGTACGGTCGTGACCTGAGGAAGCTGCAGAGGTTCCTGTCAGACACACAGACCCACCTTCCCCTGGAGGGGACAGTCCGCTGCAGCCTCCAGCAGCTCAGACACTCTCTTCAGGACCTCCAGGTGAAAACAAGACTAGGTGTTATGGTTGGACACATTAGTCACAGAGGGAGAATCCCTCAAACACCCTGCGCTCCGGCATGGACAAACAGACAAGCACAGTTCTGCAAACATGAAAAAGTAGAAAAACACAGCTTTGGCCTGAACAGAGAACCGGTCCTATGTCCTCCCGACCACACTGCCCTTGACTAAAAGCCCCCACTCAGACAGCAGGGTCCCTGGGGGTCCCCTCCAGCCAAAACTATAAGCAGATTGGGTAACTGCTTGGCAAATGTGGCTGAACGAGTCAGGAAATGTCCTGGTGCAGAGAACGGTTCTCTAAAGGGAAATGTTTGGTGATTCTGGGCGGCTCTCCACTGGAAATCCAGAATGATGGAATTCTGGTCGGCCAGTGCAGGTTATGGATGCTTCTAGAGGCTCCATGTTAGGAAGTGCACTCATGCAAAGCCTCACTAACAAGTAAGAGAGTGTTCTGTTAACTAGAAAGGGAGTTTCATGTCCAGGTCTTGTTGCTAACGCGGGACTAGCTCAGGCTCTCCCTCCATCCGTCACACAACTCACAAACAGAAACTCAAGGAACAAAAGACTCCCGCTGATGATGAATGGCTGCTTAGCTCTGTCTAACGATCTTCATCATTAGTGACGAGATGAGCTGATTTTTGTATTCAGATGATCGGTTTTCTTGTTTGAACTTTCATCACTAAACTAACAACTCCACGTCCCGCTCTTTAACTCACCTCTCCTCCATCTCAGCACACGGAGCTGTTGTTCCAGAGGTACCAGAGCAGCTTCCTCCACACCCTGGAGGTGGGTCGGCAGCTCTTCGCTGTTGGCGACGAGGAATCCCAGGCTCAGCTGCAGATGGACCTGGGAATGCTAGAGGAGGAGTGGGACAACCTCCACAGCCTGCTGAGCAGAAGAATGGATCTGACCGATGCTATTATCAAGGTTCTCGTTACCTTTACGTCTTGTGAAACCTTGTAGGCTTGGAGTGGTACTCAGAAACCAACCCTGTGGATGATTCCCATGATGGAAAACATCCAGTTTACTGATTAAAGTCCTCAAAGACTCGTGAGAAAACATCCTTTGGACAGATGCTGTTTGACCACAGCATCGTGCTTTTGACCAGCTGTTAGCAGGGGGGTGGAGTGATGATGGTTTGTCAGACACCTCACCATCATCACCATGAAGGCGTCCGTCTATCTGGAGCCAAGTGTGAGGCCGCACGTCTGAGCTGAAGCCTGCACTAACCCCTCAACCCAACACAGCGAGTTCTGTGGTCAGCTGGATTATTTAGATGAGAGGGTTAAAATCATTCTGGTTGGAGGGCTGCTGGTCGTGGTCCATGGGATGGACGTGGTTCTTCACACACCTTTTAAAAACACTTGATAACTAATGGAGTTTTTCATGTGTTTCATAAACTTGGAGTTAGATTTGATCCGTTTTAGTATCTGCTAACGAGAAATAGAGAAATTAGGATTATCTAGAAAAGTAAAATATGTGACATAAAAAAGAGAGCAGCTTTCTTTTCCCTGTCATGTAGAACATGAAACCTTTTCCTGTTAGTGGTGGTTCCCAGACGAGCCCCTTTTGGGTCTAAATATAACGACGTCCTCCATCTGCCTCAGCGGCGTGTAGACATGCAGACAAGCTAATCCAATCTACTCTAATTGATGACTTCAGAGTGAAGAAGATGAGGAAGGACCGTGATGGGTCTCCTGATGACTCTGTTTATCTTTGGTCTCAGAACTGGGAGCGCTGTGAGGCTGGAATAACAGACAGCATGATGCATCTGAAGGACCTGAAGACCAGGCTGAACCAGACAGAGAGCACGGACCTTCAGAGCCACGATGATTTCCACAAGGTAGTTCTGCCAACCAGATCAGAGGGTCAGCAGCAGAAAATAATACCACCTTAAGTAGGAACAAGTGGGACTTTCCGGTTGGAGCTTCCCGTTAGGTCCCAGAAGCTCTGATATTCACTTGGGCTGGGTCCTAAATCAGGATTTTAGGGTTATTTCTCCATACCCCGGTCTTTTTTTCTTACTGTGTCCTGTCCAGCTGTGGAGCAAGCCTTGCAGTTTTACTCTCACAGGTGGAGCGTTGTAGCTTCATTTGTTACCTTTACCTGAAGCTCAGCGGTAGCAAAACGAGTAGTTTTTACGTTTTACTTCATCAGTAGCTAAAGAAAATGTCTACAAGTACAAAATAAATTCCCTAAACATCGGACACGTGGGCGGAGCTTTAATCTTGTCGTATGTTTTCTTATTCCCATGACTTGGAACAAACAAATAAATGCATTTATAATTCTAACTGTTCTATCATGAGAAGCTCAGGATGGTGGATTCCTGTTATCAGGAACAACAAGGATCCTCATGCAGATTCCCTTAGAAAAGTCACGTTTGAACTAAGACACCTGCAGTCTGACCCATCAGAGCCTTTATCCACCAACCTCCCCCAATCCCCTCCCCCCACAGTCACTCCTCCCCCAGCCCGTCCGCCCGGCCTGTGCCCATAATCCTCTCTCGGGGCGGGGTGATGAAGAGAAAAGAGTGACAGAGTAGGAGAAGGGGGCTGAGCAGAGGGACGGTGGCTGTGTGCCGAGGAGGATCCCTGACGGTTTGCTGTGGTGCTCTCTCTCTCTCTCTGTGTGTGTGTGTTATGGTATGCAGGAGAACAAGGACTTGCTGGAGGACTGGGCTGAAAGCCTGACGGAGCTGAGCACCATGAAGACGGATCTGTCCCAGTACATCATTGCAGATGACCTCCTGCTGCTGCAGGAGCAGGTGGAGCACCTCCACTGTCAGTGGGAGGAACTCTGCTTCAAGGTCAGTGTGCTAAAAGCCCCACCTCAGCCTCGCTCGCCCGTCTCTCACCTCTGCATCAGTCTGGGTCTTACCTGAGCTTCAGACCAGCGGCTTGTAGCTTCAGTAGCAAAAGCCTGATGGAAACCAGGAAAACAAAGCATGTTTAAAGGTCGCGTGTTTGTTATGAGAACACAAAGTACAGCAGATGTCAACATTTCTGTGTCTCCAGGGTAAAACGTGACTCATTTAACTTTAATCTGGCCCTTTCAAGGCACTGCTGATAAGTGTGTGATGAGTGCAGAGAAAACAGATTTGGCTGAAATCCAAACTTTTTAAAATCTTATGAAGAAGAACTTGATGCACGCCTGCCTTCTGAGTCTGGGACCATTTAGGGCCTGGCTGGGTTTAGATCACAACGGCATGCTACAGGATTTCACAATAAAAGTTCAAGCCATTGAACTTGTTTGGCCCTGAGCGAGAACCTGCTGTTGGAATCGGGTCATAAAGCATCTCAGCAAAGTGCTTCAGGGCGTTTATTTCAGAAGTAAGGCAGGAAAGGTGATCCTACCTGAAAGCACCGTACCGCTCTGTTAGGCGGTCTCTTATTGTAAAAGCAGCAGGAGAAGGTCAACTGGAAAGTTTGAATTTCAGAGTTTCAAGGTTGTAAAATGAACACCCTGCAAAGTGAGCGCTCTGACTCCGAAAACTGCAGTTTACTGACCAGCCACAACCTCGGAACTCAACACGGCGGCGTCGCTCAGAAGCTGTTTGTTTTCCAGTCCGACTCGAGGCTGTCCAAACGCGCAGAAACGTGTTGTTACTGGTTCCTGTCCTGGTCACCGAGCGCTTCGATAAGCAGCTGAAACATGGTTCACTTGGGTCTGACGTTGTCTCCAGTTCTGGGTCATTTCCTCCAGTGAATCCAGATGTTTTCCTGTCGCGTTCAGACGCCCCGATCCAAACCTTTGTCAGGATTTCTGATCATTAGTCACATTTTTGTACCTGACCTCTTTCAGAAGAAGGTTTTATTTCTGTTGGGTCACTTGAGACCAACGTGGCAACCATTTCAACACAGATGTTGCAAACATCTGGGCATTTAGTTCAAATGTAACTGAACACACGGAGAGCAGCTATTGGAAGACACAAAGTTGTCTCTGGTCTCCAGAACCTTCCAAGGACAGCGCTCGGCTGACTAAAACAAAATGAAAGTTTCCCTTTAAAGGCTTCAAAAAGCTAACGCTGAACAATTCTGTCCTGTTTTCTCTGTTTCATCACCTCCTTCTAAGTGTGTTAAAATACTATTTCATTGCATTGAGTTACAGTTGTGTGTAGTTTCTCATCATTTGTATTTGAATACTTTCAACAGCTTTAAAATGACAGCATGTGTTGTACGAGTCATGTGACCAGATGAAAAACAACAACTAGCTGCTTTAGTTAAACGTTTATTAAAGAGTAAGCCACCCGCTGCTCAGACACACACGTCACAATCGCTGTCCTCCAATCATCTGTTTGTCAGGTGTCTCTGCGCAAGCAGGAGATCGCAGACCGTCTGAACGCGTGGATCATCTTCAACGAGAAGAATAAGGAGCTGTGTGAGTGGCTCACTCAGATGGAGAACAAGGTGGCTCACAACTCGGACCTCAACATCGAAGAGATGGTGGAAAAGCTCAAGAAGGTGGGAGGCCGCGGGAAAACACGAGTTCCAGCTGAGAAATCAGAACTATTTAGGTGCTCCGAACATACACATCTGTGATTCAGTGACTGTTTTTTAAACTAATATAATCTGCAAATGTCCCAGTGAAGAAGAAAGAAAGAAGAAGAAGAAAATATCATTCCTGTAGCGCCTCTCACGATAAAAATCACGAGGCGCTTCACAAAAACAAAAAATAAAAAAATGTAAAGATATAAAAAAGCATTTAGAAAATGTTTAAAAATATATATAAAATGAGCAAAAATAAGCAATTGCAATTTCAAAGAAAAAGTGATAAGAAAGAGAGAGAGTGAACAGGAAAGAGGGAAATCAGTGGATCCTGAGGAAGGTGGAATAGGTGGGGAGAGCAGAATAAAGAGAGAGAGGTGAAGAAAGTCATACAAAAGCCAGCTTGAACAAGTGAGTCTTCAGCTGCTTTTTAAAGGAGACCACTGAGTCCACTGATCTCAGGCTCAGGGGGAGAGAGGTCCAGAGTCTGGGGGCCACAGCAGCAAATGATCTGTCACCTTTGGTCTTTAGCCTGGTGCTGCACAACCAGTAGGCTTTGATCACTGGACCTCAGGGACCTGCTGGGGGTGTAGGGACTGAGGAGATCACCAATGTAAGATGGTGCTTGTCCATGTAAGGCCCTATAGACCAGAACCAGGATCTTGAAATGAACCCTGAAGCTGACTGGCAGCCAGTGAAGCTGGAGGAGAAGCGGGGTGATGTGGGTGTATTTGGAGGACTTGGTCAGAAGCCGAGCACAGGCGTTCTGAACCACCTGTAGACGGTTCAGGGAGGTTCTGCTCAGACACGTGAAAAGAGAGTTACAGTAGTCGTTACAGTGCTGTCTATATCTTCGGTCACAAGAAGAAACTAAACCCCAGCTCAGGTGCAGAGATGACCAAAGAGTAGACGTTGATCTCCAGGCATGTGGGTCTGACTCCTGTCCTTTCAGAGATGTGGGAGCCGTTTGTTTTGTTTAACTCGGCACTGCCCTGTTTGACTCGTAGGGTCTGGGTCAGGGTGGCAGAGGCCGTTGTTGTTGCTGCCAAAAGCCAAATGTGTTGGTGTCAGAGAGGCCCGAAACCCTTTCAGTCCTCTTAAGTTTAGTGATTCTGCTCAACTAACTTCTTCCTGGGAACTGCCTGCAGAATAAAACATTGGTTTCATTCGCTCTGTCAACACAACGCTGTCTGAATGCTTCACATAAACTAAAACGATCACCATGAAGCCATGCATATGAGCGGATGTGTTGTCCTCAGGACTGTATGGAGGAGATCAACCTGTTCAGTGAGAACAAAACCCACCTGAAGCAGCTCGGAGAGCAGCTCATCACAGCCAGCAACAAGGCCAAAGAGACCGAGGTCAACGACAAGCTGAAGGACGTCAACGACCGCTGGCAGCATTTGTTCGACCACATCGAGGCCAGGTAGGAACAGACGGAAAATGCTGGAACAAAGAACACAACACAAATAGTTTGTGTTTTCCTGTTTGTTGGCAAATAATCTCATGAATGACGGGGTTAATTGAGGCATTTACAAAGATTCGTTTTGGTGTCTACTTGATCAAAGATGGCTGCCACAGCTGACAAACCTCAGCCAAAACAAGGATGGCTATCATATGTCCCATTAGCATGATTAATGTCATCAGTGTTAATCTGATCAAAATTAAATCTGATATTTAATTTGCTTGGTCAGCCGAAGGTTTTAATGGGAATCCTGCGCAGCTCAGTAACCTTTATTATGGTGATGTGCAGGCTGAAGGTCGTACCAGGGTCAGCTCGTGGAGGTACGGGTACACACCAGTGACACACTGTGTGTGAAAATCAACAAGAGTGAAACTGGTGGCTGAAGCTCTAACGACTGCCTCTGTAGTGATGCTGATATAGTGGTGGATATAGTGGATATGGTGGTGTACTGGTGCCGCCGGAGTCCTGGCGTCGTTTCCTGCGTGTTTTAGACGGTGAACACAGCTGGTTTCTTTTAGTGGTGAACCGCTGTAGAAACCAGTGAAGATGAGGAGACATTTCAGCCGTTAGATTAAAGTTAACGCTCAGCGAGGGGGAGAGTTTCATTTTCTAACCACAGTAGTTAATAACAGGACACTAGGGGGTGCTAAAAGCAAGCTAAACTGCAAAGTGTGCCGTTAACTAAATGTGAAAATGTTTAATTCAGATTGCTGCGGTGACTCACTGGTTGGTCTCAGCGGTTAGTGATGTAGATGAGCTTTACTGGTTGGCTTCACCGGTAAGTTAAACTGGTATTGACCAGCTTTACTGGTTGATATCACTGAGTACTTTTTAGTGACATTTCACTGGTTGGTCTCACAAATGAATGTAGGCGTTGGTGTTGGTGGTTGGCTCCCTGCGTGGTGACGGTGTAACAGGCCCTTGTTTGGTAGTTAGAAGCATCATAAAATCAGGAGACAACACAACAAGCTGAACTGAGTGAAACGGTTTCTTTTTGACTCTGTGATTGGTTAAACCGTGTGGGGGTGGGGGTGGGGGATTGAGGTGACTTATCCTTCATGAGGGTGACTTACTCAGATCCACCATATGGTGACTGCTCTGTGATCATGGCCGCTGTTTTTTTTTTTTTTTGACCTCTAACATACTACCAATGTAAGGTTTTGGATCACTTGGAAATTGGATTTTCCAAAGAAAGACACACTTTCACATAATTCACCAAATAAATGTTACATTTATCATTCTGGTGAGTGCTGGTTTATAACCTGGAGACTGTCAGAATGAACACATCTGTAGGGTTTATAGGACTGGCCTTTGCACGCTGTCACCAGGTTCTTCTTACATCCCTTGTGTTAGGGCAGCAGCTAATATTCTACTCAGTAAATTGCCTGTATTTTATAGCACTTTCCTCGGGTTCTCCAGCCCCCCAAGGCGCTTTACAGTCCTGATGAAATCCAGTGTGAATGGAACCCTGCCACACCTGGTGCATCTTATGAGGACCAACCTGGCTCACCTCAGTTTTTTTTATGCTCATTGTGCTTAAGCACCTTTCTTCCTTCAGCTGTGTCAGCCATCTTGAAATGGATTAGCTCCAAAAGTTAAGCAGTTGTAGATGTTTGTGCTGTGAAATGGTTGATATCTGTGAGTCAATAAAATCCATCCAGACATGGCTACTCCAACAGGTCTTCATCATCATCATCATCATCATCATCATCCTTTGTTTATATAGTCCCTTACAGGGACAACAAAGACAATTAAACAATGAGTAAATATAGAATAAAATCATATAACGATCAGCAACATCTAGCCCACAGAACATAAAAGTGGGTCTTCAGCCTCGTTTTAAAAACCCGTACTGATGAGGAGATCCTAACAGATGAGGGAAGTGTGTTCCCCAGCTTCGGTGCTGCTACAGAGAACGTTCTAATCCCATCCCGAAGAACTGGTGCAATGGCTTTGACCATCTCAGCTACCGTAGCACCAAACCTTAGCTCATAACCTGTAAAAGCTGACTGGGCTGCAGCCATTTCTATCCTGATGGTGAGCAGCTGGATGTTCCGTTGTGGATCTCTGTCCAGTGTGTCATGAGATATTTGACCACAACTACAGCATTTAGATTATATTTACCTGAAATACTTTTACCAGTTTTCCAACCTGATTTTTGCTGCAGAAAAAAAGGATTCATCTGCGTTCAGAAAGGTTTTGGGTCATTTGATCAAGTCAAGTCAAGTCAAGTTTATTTATATAGCACCAAATCACGACAAGAGTCGTCTCAAGGCACTTCACATAATAAACATTCCAATTCAGGTCAGTTCATTAAGCCAATCATAAATAATGTTTCCTATATAAGGAACCCAGCAAATTGCATCAAGTCACTGACTAGTGTCAGTGACTATACAGCAATCCTCATACTAAGCAAGCATGCAGCGACAGTGGAGAGGAAAACTCCCTTTTAACAGGAAGAAACCTCCAGAGAATCCTGGCTCAGTATAAGCAGCCATCCTCCACGACTCACAATTGTGCCTCGTTGACAACGCGTGCCTTTGATCAGTTGATAAGACCCAGCATTGCTGAACTTCTGCTGTGTGAAAGGTCTCTTTAGTCTTAAAATGTGCTTCTTTGAAGAGCTATGCCACTCCTCCAAATTCTTTGTTAAGCAGTGATTCCCAACCAGGGTTGCGCGTACCGCTGGTGGTACACGAGCACATTACAGGCGGTACGTGGAATTATTGAATTTCCATCATTCTGCACTGCCTCTGCCCTGTTTAAAATAAAAATCAATGAAAAAAGCATCAGGCTGGGATGTGTTATGCTTCATGAATACCCAAATGTAGTAATGCACAGTGATGTACAGTTACCATGGTACGAATGACCAACTGTGACTGTGCATGAATGTCACCAACTCAGAACGAAACACATGGGTGCTGGCGAGGAGCGCATGAATTAAGCAGTATTTGTACAGAAGACGGGGCAACGGGAGTCTTACAGGCCTAGTTTGGGTTTCAGGAGTCTGGTGTTGAGCTGGGCTCACCACTCATGGGAGGGGCAAAGGGGTCAGGTGCAGTGTGAGATGGGTGGTAGCTTGGCGGTCTGAAAAAGCTCACTCTCAGTATGTGAAATGTCACCTCTCTGGTGGGAAAGAGCCAAAGTTGGTGTGTGAGGTTGAGAGGTTCCAGCTAGACATGGTCCAACTCACCTTGCTGCATGATTCTGGCTCTGGAGCCAGTTACCTCGAGAGGGGCTAGACACTACCACACTGGACTGCCGCCTCCCGAGAGGCGCCCGAGCAGCGGCGGGCATGCTGTTAGGGCATAAAGTCAAAGAATCCACGAGTCAAACAGGAAGTGAGGTGTGCGTTAGCATTAGGGAGTTTTAATGAAGCGATTTTCATTTACAGCTTTTCTCTGTTGGTTTGGCTCATTTCTTGAAACAGAAATTACATCCTCGAAATAACACGGACAAGCCTCCAAACCTCTTGGCAAATGTTCACAACAGAATGGCATTTCTCATCCATTTTATCAAATGGCAAATGCCTTAGTGCATGTCTCAATTGTCTCAGCGCTTCTTTGCAAATGATTAAGTACATGTAGCCTACAGTTATACAGTTAGCCCACAGTTAGCACGTTTTCCAAATGAACAGATCTTGTAGATCTAAACTGATTAGTTGATTCTCAGTAATGATCATTCTCTCTAAAACATGTCAGCATCATTTCATTGTATAAGTCCTCACATGCACAACTGTCTGTTCAATTGTCAGAATCGGTCAAGAACATAATACCATGAATACCGTATATGAATTTCTTTGAGTATTTGATACATTGATGACAGTCAGATGAAACTATCCATCCATCCATTTTCTGAACCCGCTTTGCCCATGTAGGGTCGCGGGGGTGGGGGGTGGGGGGGGGGTGGGGGGGGCTGGTGCCTATCTCCAGTGGTCAGCGGGCAATCAGGCGGGGTACACCCTGGACAGAGAGCCAGTCCATCGCAGGGCAACACAGAGACACACAGGACAATCAATCACACACACACACACACACACACACACACACACACACACATCTAAGGACAATTTGGACAGACTAATTAACCCTAACAGTCATGTTTTTGGATTGTGGGAGGAAGCCGGAGTACCCGGAGAGAACCCACGCATGCACAGGGAGAACATGCTAACTCCATGCAGAAAGATGCCAGGCCGGGAAGCAAACCCAGGACCTTCTTGCTGCAAGGCAACAGCTCTGCGCAGCCCCAGGTGAAACTAGACTAAGGAATGGGGAGTGTCCCACACACAGGTGTTTTACATGATCGTGTGCTGCCATTCCTGACAACGCTGTGGCCACTCACATCCCCAGTCTTAGCCCATACAACGCACTCAAGCTCCTCATCTTCTTGGATCGCCTTTATACCGATATTGTCCCTGAAAATGAGAGAGGTCTCGTAGGGCCTCACCTACCTATTTACGTAATTGTGTGGGACAGTGTCAATTTCCACCATAGCCCACTCATTAGGGGCTTGTGTGCAACGCATCCAAGGATGGCCATGGAGTTCCTACCACCTTACTCTCCTTTCCTCAGTCCGATAGAGGAGTTTTTCTCTGCTTGGAGGTGGAGAGTGTATGAGCATCATGCTCAGGATCAGCCGTCCCTGCTCCATGCTATGGACGCAGCGTGTGACGACATTACAGGAGATCTATGCAGGGGATGGTTGCAGCATGCACGCGGTTTCTTCCCTCGTTGCATCGCAAGAGAACATATCCGCTGTGATGTGGACGAGAATCTGTGGCCAGACGGACAACGGCGTGTGAATAATCAGGCGGGTGAAGACAGTGGACAGGAGCGGGAGAATGAGTACAGCGACCGCTGCATACTTCCTTGCTTTTGATTTTGTGTTCATACAATTTACTGTATTACTGTCATGTACATTTACTTTTTACACATGTATGAAACTTTCTTTGCGTGTGAATG